AGGCTGATCTCCATTTGGACTGTGGAAGTCTCAGGACTTTTCCTCCCATGTTCACAGCTATATCGTTCTTGATATTCGCAAAATATAGCACGGTGTGCCTGTGATGCAGTGTAGTGGTGCGGTGACCGATGTGTCCACCTGCCTGGGGGCTCCTTCTCCAGCCGCCCCCACCTCCCCCCGCCCCCGTAACCACAGCTCTCTCCTATCCTCCTAACACTAGTATCTCAAAACAATACATTGTTTGCTTTTTTTTTTGTTAGCGATATAGGATTGTATTATGCTCCATGCAACTCTTTTCCTCAGCAGCAAGTTGCTACGAGTCACCTGATGGTGCATACGGCTCGTTTAATCGTTTAGTTAGCATGTATAGTACTCCATGGCTTGTCCATCCTCTTTCCGACAGACACTTGGTTTCTAGTTTTTGCTGTTGTGGATGCAGCTGCTCTGAGCATTGCTACCCCGTCCTTGGTGCACATTGTTCCCTGGAGAGGTGTCACTGGCCAGAAGGCTCCCAAACGCCAGCCAACACCACCCTATTTTCCCTGAGGGGTCCCACTGCCTGTGACCACCAGCAGCTTGTAGAAAGAAGCTCCTCTGGGTCCACCTGTGCGCTACTCTTGCTGTGGCCCCCAAGTATTTAGGATGTAGGTGGGAGGGCATGCAGGGGCTCTTGGAGCACATGGGGCAGAACCAGTCCTGTAGGTGGAAAAAGCTCATACCAGTCACCCAACCAGAGTGAGTCCTAAAATGTGCATGGTCTCCAGTGGTTTCTCCCCTGTGAGGTGATTCTAAAGAATATTTAGGGAGTAAAGAGTTATCTATTGGTCCCGCTGTGTCCTGAGTGTTTCTATGTACACGATGCCCTCAAAGAAGAAAACCAACCCTTCAGGAAGCATGCATCGCAGAAGTCCTCACAGGGAAATGGGCAACCCCTGAATGTCTAGCATATCACAGTGGCCCAGACAGCAACCCGGGGCACGCTGCCAGCACTTAAAGTGTGGCCACCCTGGGCTCCGACTGTCCTCGTGCCCTGAGCACAGTGACAGTAAAACGTACATCAGCAGATGCTTGAAGCCTCCTGAGGACCAGGCACAGTGAACAATGTGGTCAGGAAGTGGATCTGTCTTCTAGGAATGTAGCCTACGATCACACCCTACACAAGCAGGACCGATGTATGCAGGGACATTCACAGCACTGTAATGCTAAAGGACACAAATTAATCTAATTGCCTATCATTTAGGGACCAATGAAATAAAAGCAGCAAGTCTGCAATGGAATCATGGGTTCCCCTGGAGATAAAAATATGGATGCAAGTAGTTTCAATGGGGGGAGATTCTGGGAAGCCCCCCAGAGATGTGGGGAAGGGAAAGGAAGCAAAGGGTGTGCTCTTGAGTTGGCCACCACTTTGGGCACCTGGGGCTGAATCCCAGGGGAGAACTCTGTACGTCACGCCTCAGTGTTCTCCCACCTGAGGGGCAAAAGCTGCAGTATTTACCGCCCCGCACCCCCCCCCCCAGCTTCTAGTGGACATAGGTTGAAGGCTGCTCGGGGACACTGACTCCCTGCACACCCAACATCCCTGTGCTCAGGCCAAGCAGGTCTGGTGGCCAGAGGAGTATCTGCAGATGGAGCAGCTGGGAGCCATGGGGAATGCTACCTGGAAGTGCTTACTGCCACAGGGATGTGGTTTGGGGGGTGCGTATCGTGCCCAGCCTCCCTTGAGGCAGGAGCGTTGCAGGAATGATAGGCTCTGGAATGTATAATCCACGGTCTGTGTCTTCAACATTCTGCTGCCCGGGGAAGGGAATGGCTCACTCTCATGCACCACGTGGAGAAGGGCTACATACAGCCTAGGGCTGGAGGAGCCACAGGACAGAAGGCCTGTACCCCCAGTGGCTTCATGGAGCAGCTGTTTTGACCACCTCCTGCCACACAAGAGGAACCAGCTGATCCAAGTCATCATTGCTGAGCCTTCGCCACAGACAGCGGTGCCTTCACCCCGGGAAGAGAGCTCCAGCCCCGTGGGGAAGGGCGGCACCCTGACACCTGGCCCACGGACCTTGTGGGGTGCTGTAGCAGCCCAGCAAGGTGAGCTGGTGCCTGCCCCCAGACCATGCAGCCAGGTGCCGAGGCCAGCAGATACAGCCGGCTGCAATCCCCAAACTGAATAATGCATGAAGCAGTGTTGTGACAAAGAACCAGGGGTTTGTTTTAGCAGATTTTAAATCATAGAACTCTGCCTCCCAGGAATCTGCCTGGATGACAAAGCCTACAACAGAAAACTGAAAAACAAAACAAAACAAAACAAATCAACGCCATAACTACAAAAGTCCGGGAAACATTTTCCTGACAAAGCCAAAAACAACAGAACACTGAAACGTTTTAAACAAGTCTTCGTAACCCAATCCACTGGTGTCACTTCCTTGCTGGGGAGGCTGCTGGCCAGCACCACTCAGCTCTGAGAGATGGAAAACCATGAAATAGAAGACAGTTGCCAGTAAGCTAAAATGCCAAGTGACCTTCAGTTGGTGTGTTTGATTCCTTCAGGAACTGGGGCAGCCTTTTAACAGAAAAATCACTGAAGGATGCCAGGTTGAGCCTCCCTCCCCCGGCACCTTCTTGTCTTGTCCAGCTGTTCACGTGAGACCGTGTCTTCCTCGGGCCATCTGATGACCCAGCTGGGACCTTGCTGTTGAGAGGTGGGCAGTCAGCCTCTGATCTGTGAGGACAGACACGTTCTGGCACCAGCCCGAGAGGAAGCAGGTCAGAGGACACCAGAGCAGGAGGAACTCCCCAGGGCCTGCACGAGAGGAAGAGGCGCCTCCAGCAAGCGCGGGCCTGGAGTGTGGCCCTCGTACTCACAACAGAGGGTGTGACATCAAGTGCCATCAGCGGGGGGGTGCGCAGTGGAGTGCCTGCCCGCATGAGGGAGTGTGCGTGCATGTGACAAGCTTCAGGAGGCAGGAGGCATTGAAGGAGATGACTGCAGAGCCGGAGGGCGACTTCTAAGGGTGACGACCTGGAGCAGGGGGAGGGGGGCATCTGGATGGGGGATAACGTCAACAAACAGGTAGCATCAAAGGCTGTGTGGGCACTGAGGGAGCTTGGAACAAAGGTGCGTGCCATCGAAGCACGTGGGATGACTGACCATGAAGTGGCACGTGACACAGTATGCGTAGGTATATGAGGGAGCGTGGGGGCAACGGAGGCCGGGAACAAGCCTCCTGGTGTGTCACAGGCCCAGCCCCTCTCCCCCCTGACCCTGGTAATGGTCCAGGCTCCTGGGCTTTCCATGGCTCTCCAGGGGGGGTGAGGCTTCATGGGGAGCCCAGCGGCAGCCCCTTCCCAACTCCACAAGGGTTGGCCGTCACTGACCCCTACTGGCAGGGCACACAGACAGTGTCCGGGAAGGCCTCAGCAGGCTCCTGAGAAGGAGAAGCCCTAGGATTGGCCTGGAAGGGGAAAGCATCCATCGCAGGCAGGGGAACAACATCAGCAAAGGCTGAGGCATGAATGTGACTGAGCTGGCAGTCCCTGGCCAGCCTGGCCCCCACAAGCCAGCATGGCCCTGTAACCAGGCTCACGGGCCCTCACCACAGGGTGGGGGAGCACCACAACACAGGTTGGGCCTCTGCCCTGCCAAGCTGCCCTTTCTCGGCTGTGCTCTGATTTCTGTTTCTCAAAACCTCAGGAATACCCTGCCCTGGTCTTCCCAAAGTTCTGGCATTTTGATTTATCATTCAAGGAAACTGAGAAAGGACACCCTATATTCAAACAGTCACTAAGGGGACATTCAGCCCTTCCTAGGGGACTCCCACGGCTGGCTGTCTTCCCAAAGCCAGAAGGGTGGGTCCTCATTGCCAAGCATCCTGACACACACTGCAAATACACACCCACACACCCACATAAGGGTGGGAGGCAGCCCAAGGCACAGGGTTTCACTGAGCTGGTTTCAGCTTTAATCTTTAGCCTAGGCAGAATGAAAAGTCAGATTTCCCCCCGCCCCGAGTCTTCACTGTTACCCCTCCAGCCAGAATTTAGCACCCCTTGCCATGGTGTACCCACTCCTTACCCCACTCCCCATATAGCGCTTCACACCTCTGGGCTGCTGTGAAGGAAACCCAGGCTCTCCATCTCTCTCATCTGATCTTCATGACCACCTGGCATTCTTGCACCATTTGGCAGCAAAGGAAAGCTGAGGCTCAGAGATTTGTTGAGATGCCCAAGATCCGACAGCCCCATGCAGCAGAACAAATGGCAAAATGAAGCAGAGAAACTCCAAAATGTCAGAAGTAAAAAACATTTATTTCAAAAACATAAGCTCCCCGGCTCACGATGGTCCTATAAAACCTGCCACCATATTGCACTCTGGACTCTGTGGGCACACACGGAAGACTTAGGATCTGGCCAGACCGAGATCAAAGGTGGGGCCAGCCACGGGGAGAGGCAACACGGCTCAGTGACAGGCAGAGTGGAAGGCAACTCAGAGTGGGCTCCATGCCATGCCCACTGACAAGGAAGGCCTTAGCCTGAGCCTGATGACGGAGGGCTTTCCTCCTGGACCACGGCTGTCAACACCAGGACCGAGGCGGCGAAGAGGCCGCTAGGAGAGGCCACAGACTGCACCGAACCGGCATTCTGCTCTGGTTTGGGGTCAAAGTTGACCCCCCAAAATGGCCTCTCACAAACTAAAAAATACTAGTAATTCAATGCTTCCCCACCCAGTGGTCTGGAGAAGTGCCTGCCAGCTGGCACAGTCAGAGGAAGCAAGCATCAAGTGACAGGCAGGCACACGGGTGTCCAGCCGCCTGAGGTGGGCTGCACCCAAACCTGGCCGGGTGGGATGGAGGCCTGGGCGGGCTGGCCAAGCAGGGAAGGGCCGGGGCAGTGGTGCTCAGAGTGGAGTCCCGGGCAGGCAGCACCAGCATCGGGGTGCGGGGGGCCTGGAGGGGGGGCACCAGAAATGCACACCGTCCGGCCGATGTGACGGGCCCCGCCGCCTAGTGCAGCCGCAGGTAGGAAGGGGCAGAGTAGTTGAAGAGCAGGAAGTCCATCCTGTAGAGGTCGAAGAGGCGCCGCTGGTAGAAGGGGCTGATGTCCCGGAAGAGGCGCTCGGCC